CTTATTTTAAATTTGTTATATTTGTATAATAAATCAGCGTTGTATAGAAATTACCATTAATTATCATTTGAAAGGCGGAAATTTGTAAATCGGCGAATTTCTACTTCATCTAATTCATATTTGTCTCATGAATATTTTAAGCTACATTTTTGTTTGCAAATAATCAGAATATTATGACCCTCATTACCATTATCTCTGCAAGAATGATCGGCAAGGCAGTTCCTAAAAGTAAGTTTTGTATTTATTCCTTGTGCTATTAAACATATAAAAATACAATTATCTGCATATCAACGTGATGTAATAGTTAAGGAGTTACTCATTTTGGAACATTACTACTGTTTAGTTAAGATATGCTTCACACATTTTACCTAAACGGTAAAATTGGTACCAAGATACCTAATGAGTGCCAAGATACCATTACAACAACAGTCGTTGATAAAAAGCAGGATGGATCTATACTTTTCATGTTGTTTATGCTAAATTATGGTGATATCATCCAAATCTCACAGCAGGAATCAAGATTTTACAAAGCAACAATCATTTTTCCATCGCCTGAGTCGTTGACAAAAGGCAGGATGGATCTATACATTTCATGATGTTTATGCTAAATTATGGTGATATCATCAAAATGTCACAGCAGAAATCAAGATTTTACAAAGCAACCATCATTTTATGCTAAATTATGGTGCTATCACCGAAATGTCACAGCAGAAATCGAGACTTGTCAAAGCAGACATCATTTTTCCAGTCTTCTATTATCAAATTTCTGTATCCATTACGATTTGGAGACTCCGTTTCGTGTTTTTATCTGACAGGAATTGCAACGAGAGTCTTTTTTTATGGTTGTAACTTAACTGAATCAAAGTTAGACGTGTTGAACTCCGAGAGACGCTCTTCTGCTTACGTCCGTTGTGAAGAGCGTTTATTTGAGCTACTGATACCTTCCAATCAGCTTGAACTATTATCATCTGACCTCTTTCATCAACAAAGAATTTCCGTTCACGGAATTTCTTCTTGCTTTTTATTCTTTTTCTAACTATTCTCGGCAAACCTGAGATATCGTCGCAGGTTAAAATCCGAGCAGATCGGCCATCTTTGAAATATTCAGTCTAAATATTAAATATTATTTAATAATCTTTCTTTCCCATACTAATGCATGAAAGCATATCCAACAGCTCCCTATTTGAATTGCTTATATCAATTGTATATATATATTTCCACAGTTGTTGGTTTTTTTTTCTGTATTAGTATTTATTTGTTTTTTACAACTAACCTGAAGTTCGTTTGTCTTATTTTTACTTCTTGTTTTTAATTACTTGAAGTTATAATTATCAACTTTGCATTTTTTAATCTCGTTCATTTTTTTATTAATTAATACTTTAGGTATTAATACTGCCAAAAAGTCAGTATAAATCATCTTATTTTATGTCAAATAATGACTTCATAATCTACGAGTATTTTAGGCTGAAATTCCAATGTTTTTTCATTTGTTGCTTCTGCTATCATTTTCTAAAATTAACAAACTTTTCTATATATGCGTTTGTTTATTTATATACTATTTCGTAATATGTCTTGCTTTCTATTCTTTTGTTTGCTTAACGTTTAATATATTAAAAATAAAACTTTAATTTTTTAGCTTCTGAAACACATAATATATGTAAATATTTATTTATAAATGTAAAAGACAATAGGAAAAATGTAATTGTTGCCGACGCGTTTCGTCCAATGTGGACTTTCTCAAGGCAAACAACGAAATGAATTTATTTAAACAAAATAACTAATAACAAAAACAAAATGTCCTTAGTAAATGGAAGATTTTAGAGAACGCTATTTTCATCCTGTTAACTGAAAATTACGTCAATTACTGTCACGTGTGGAGATATTGTTATTATTGCTGGGTTGACAGATTCAACCATTTTCTTTTGATTTCTTGATACTGTTCTGTACGTTTATTTGGGAGACTAGTAATTCTTTTAAGAAAGGTGAAATAGAGAAATAAGTCTAGGCGTAGATTAATATTTGGGTAATATTTAATGGCTGCACTCTCTAGGATTTTCCTTCTGTGTGAGTTATTTTCTTTCTTTATGAGTGTAGCATTTTTAAAATCAAAATTGTGGACATTTAAGGATATTTTTTGTTATTATTAGTTACTTTGTTTAATAAATTCATTTCGTTTTTTGTTTTGAGAAAATCCACATCGGACGAAACGCGTCGGCAACGATTACAGTTTTCCTATTGTCTTTTACATTTATAAATATTGTCTTTTTTTACAGGTTAACTCTGAGAAAATTTTCATAAATGCTTATGTATGCGTTTTTTTTAATTTGTGCTTGTTTCTCTAATATATTGGGAGGAACAGTTTTAGAAACTTATTTCATAAATGCTTGCTTCTGAAATATTAGTTTTTGAGGATTTGACTCTATCCATAATTATTATGTAAGTGTTTGCGATTATTTTAAGATTCTTTAGATAGGTTAGGTTACCTGAAAACAGATACATAATACTACCGACCAACTCCGTCACATCTGTTATTCAGAACAACCTAACCCATCTAAATAATATTAAAATAATGAAAAGAAAAAACTTCTCAAACCATTATGGATATAGTCAGATCCTCAAACACTAAATGTTTATATGCGTAAATTATGTTTCAAAGGACATTATAGCCGGGGTGATAGTGGTGACAAGCTCATACTGTCTATAATATGCGTATGTGTTTCAAGTAGCTTCTAACAACTAAGCCCAGATTCAAGCCGAAGAAAGGGCGAAAGCGGAAAACTAGCGCCTCCTAACCAGCTGCTTCGGTTAGATGGAGATCGACAGCAAAGAAAGTCAATCAATGTAGGGAAAGTATTTTATACAACATCTGCTTTGCACTCATATACAGCACACGGAAAAGGCTATGGAAGTAAATCCAAACAGAAAACCTGGAGTGACGCTCCAAAGGCGACTGGCTTTTAATACTGGCCACTTTCTGATAACTCCTGCAGCCAAATGTAATATTCTCTATTCATTTGGAACGTCTCGGTACGGCCGACTGGGAGGGGTGCATGTAGCCTGGGCAGTGTAAGGCCTCTATATACCATCGCCAGTTGAGGAAAAGGAAAACTCTGAATTCAAAACACCTGCTGACTTGTAAGTCTTGTCTTTTGAGAAGAGAGATTGGGTAACCTCAAAATCCACGGTGAAAAAAGAACCTGCAAGCCATTATGCTATTCCGTCTTGAATTTCGCCATAAACCACATTTGTGAGATGGAGGTGAGAGGTGATCAAAATACGCTAACTGCATAATGATAAAGATTTTCATAGCCGGGGTGATAGTGGCAAAAAACCTCCTACTGTATATAAAATGCTTCCCTAGCATGAGTTTCGCATAGCTTCTGACAACTAAGTCCAGATCCAAGCCGAAGAATGGACAAAGGCGGAAAACTGACGCCTCATAACCAGCAACGTCGGTTAGATAAAGCTCGACAGCCCAGAAAGGCAATCTATATAGGGAAAGTATTTTAGACGTCCTCTTTCTTTGCGGCCATATCTAAAACACGTAAAAGGCTATGAAAGTAAATCCAAACAGAAAATCCAGAGTGGAGCCTCAAAGGCGGTTGGCTGTTAACACTGACAGCCCCTGCAGCCAAGTCTTGTCCAAATGTAATACCCTGTATCCTTCGGAACTTTTTGGTACCGGCGAGAGGAGGGTATACACTTTTGGCAGCGCCACACTAGGAGAAGGAAAACGCGGAATTCAAAACACCTGCTGCCTTGTAAGTCTTGTTTCTTTAACTTCTGAGAAGAGGAACAGTGTCACCTCAACAACTTGTTCCTGTTTGTTCCACTTTAACAAACACCTTTCCTCACAAAATATGTAGAAGTATAAAACACTTTCAACGTAAATAATTTGACTCTGTCAAGGTTACCTATAGGAGTAGCAGTTTTGTTTTCATAAACTTGTTAGGGCTAAGTGATTACTTCCCTTACTTTTTGTTTTCTTCAACCACTCCAGATAGGGAGACATTTTAAATTAAAAGAGAGTAAGGATGATATCAGTTCATGCTTATTTTTTTTCTTGGGACAATACGACCAAGCAAATATTAACAACCGGAGCCGTATTTCGAAATTGGTTTGTAGATTCCATTTTCCTCTCTGATAACCGTTTCGCCAATTTCAATCTTCGTATAGCAGAACCAACGTCTTTTTTTCTGCTATACATCCTTGCTCTTGAAATGTTTGGCTTCGATTCTGTCGAATGGAATATCATCTTTTCTGTTTTTCTTCTTTCTTTTGCCAACCGACTTATGATTTTGATTCAGCTCCGATACCATAATGTAATATTTACTGAAGGTCTTTTGTTCGCGCCCCAAGAACTTAACTTTCTTTTTTTGTTGCTTGAACAATGTTCACCATTCTCCCAGGTTTTGGTTTTCTCAATTCTTTTTTGCTTATTGGTTTTGTTTTGTTTTGTTTTTATCAAAAGCGCCCATCTCACCCATGCTTTGATCAAAACGCATTGTGTTTCTTCAATCAATTTAGTTACAAGAGAAGGAACCGACTCTAGTTTCTACTTGTACTGCTGCTAGTATGGAACAGTCTGTACTATAAACCACAAGAAAAGTTTAAAAAAAAATCTATGGGGTATATTCGAGTCCCCATTTACTTAACAATTTCTTACCTTCAAACACTTTTTGTTCCAATTGTGAAACAATAAAAGTGGTTAAGTAATAAATAACTATTTTTTATTCACTACACACCAAATAATGCAAGAAAGCACTAAGACGTAAGGGGTTACTGAGTAAAAGAGAATATACAAAAAGAAAACATTATTAAGGAAAGAGAAAAATAAATAGACACGTTTGGTTTGGATTTGCTTAGTTTGGTTTACGGAATATCAGGTTCAATGGGTAATTAAATAATGTCAACAAAATTTTTATTGCTGCTAATATTTTTTTTATCTATCTATTTATCTATTAGTTTGGTTTGGTCTGTTTTACGGCACATCAACCTCAATGGGTTATTTGATGCCGACAATATTTTTATTGTTGCTAATATTTTCTATCTATCTATCTATCTATCTATCTATCTATCAGTTTGGTTTGGTTTGGTTTACAGCAATCAGACTCAATGGGTTATTTAATGCCGACAAGACATTTATTGCTGCTAATATTTTTTATCTATCTATCTATCTATCTATCTATCTATCTATCTATCTATCTATTAGCTTAGTTTGGTTTGTTTTACGGAACATAAACTTCAATGGGTTATTTGATGCCAACAATTTTTTATTGTTGCTAATATCTATCTATCTATCTATCTATCTATCTATCTATCTATCTATCTATCTATCTATTGCTGGTAATATTTTATCTAAAAATGCATTGCTGGTAATATTTTCTTTCAAAAAGTATATTGCTGGTAATGTTTTTTCCTTTAAAAATGTATTACTAGTAATATTTTTCTTCTTCAAAAATGTATCGCTGATAATATTTTTTTTCAAAAATTCATTGTTGTATCTGTCTATATCCACTGTGCCATGTGTCCTCAAAGACACATCCTCAAGGACATATGGCACAGTGGATAAAGGCATTGGTTAGATCCAGTGACAGGACCGCAACAGTGTGAGTTCAATACCGGGTTTAGGCAGTGGAGAACTTGGAGAGGGGAATTAACAGGAGATAACTGACAACTGACATCCATTAAACATTAACAGGAGATATGGCACGTGGAACTAGAGCAGTCTACTCCAGCGAGCGAAATAAAGAGTTCAGTTCGACATTCCAATCACCTGAAGTAGTCCGGAGCGTACAACAACCGAAACGTTGTAATAAATATGGCTGCAAAGATGAGGACAATAGTCCGAATAATAGTGAATTCATTGTTGGTAATAATTTTTCAGAAAAATTATTGCTGGTATTAAAACTTATTTTTAAACTTTCATAAAGTTTTGGCCCCTTTTATTTGGCGGGGGTAACTATTCGCTCATAGCTGGGACCCTTTCATGTGCTACCACCCCGGATCAGGGTGGACCTGGGAACACCAACAATTAAGAGGTGGTTGCACGCTTCTCAGTACCTCCCGGTTAGAGGCATTGCTGTTGGACGTAGTTTATCGTCTTACCCAGGACGCTAAATGAAGAGGAACTAAAAAAACAGTTGCATGCAAAGCAAGTAGTCGGAAGAGTGTTCCACAAGCGAAAAGTGCAAGAGAAGAAACTGTTATAAAAGTATTTATATCTTGTCATTTCAATTCTAAAATCTAATACTGGATTTAAATTCATAAATCCTAAGTACCCCGGTCTGTGTAAGACGATAAACTACGTCCAGCAGCAAGGCTTTTGTTCAGGAGGTTTTGCGGAGCGTGGAACCACCTCTTAATTGCTGATGTGGTTGTAGAACCTCTTAGGGTCCCAGCTATGGGCAAATAGTTAACCCCGAAACTGAGGTAAAAAGCATTATAAAAGTGTAGACATAGGTTTAAAACCAGAAATACGTTGTAAAAAATTATTAGCAGAAATAAATTTTTGAGTAAAAAAAATTACCAGCAATACGTTTTTGAAAAAAAACTATTACCAGCTATACGTTTTTGACAAAAAATTTACCAGCTATACGTTTTTGACAAACATTTTACCAGCTATACGTTTTTGAATAAATAATATAACCAGCTATAAATTATTGAGGAAAAAATATTAAGAGCAATAGATTTTTGACAAAACAAAAATATTACCAGGAAAAAAACAAAAGTTGTCCGCATTAAATAAGCCATTGAGGTTGATATGCCGTAAAACAAAATAAACCAAACCAAACCTAAGCATCAAAGAAGAAACATTAGTTATCCTGAAAATATTTAAAGGAAAGGTATATTGAAGCTATGTTATGTCGATAAGAAAGGGACTGAACTCGTGATGCTAAGTCAGAACCAATAACATTGCAGAATGGTTTTATTTTGTCAAGAATTTCTAAATACATAACGGAAGTACCAGAGTGTATTTGATAGTTATATTAGAGGCAGGATCGAATGGTTTGTGAAAATTGTTAGGTTACAGTGAAGCAACTTTCCTCTCAGGAATTATGTGCCTTCTCTGGAACTATCATGCCAACAAATTCGACCGGTAAATACAATTTAAATTCATATTTATTTTTTATTTTTGCGTAATAATTGTGGAGGACAGAGAGAGAGAGAGAGAGAGAGAGAGAGAGAGAGAGAGAGAGAGAGAGATTTACATAAAGGGAATAACACCAGTTTCAACAGCGATTTATTTGTCTCTGCTTTAGTTTGCTAGTTCGAAGGCCGAGAAGGATTAGTTTACAAGGCGAAAGAAAGTTTCCAGTAAAATTTCTATCTACTGAAAAATTGCAGTGAAAAGCTTGCCTTTCTGAATGGAGAACTAAGGCGAAATTAATGTTTCGTTTGTTTTGTTTTGCTTTACGGCATATCAGCCTCATTAGGTTATTTAATACTGAAAAATGTTTTGGTAATATTTTTTTTCAAAAATGTATTGCTGGTAAAAATGTATTGCTAGTAATAATTAATTTAAAAATATATTGATGGTAATAATTTTTTCCAAAAACGTATTTCTTGTATTAAAACCTGTTTTTACAATTTCATTGTGTTTTGACCCCAGTTTGGGCGTGAAGTATTTGCCCATAGCTAGGACACTGACAGGTCAGGGTGGACCTGGGAACACCAGCAATTAAGAGGTGATTCTATGCATCTCAAAACCTTCTGATCAGTGGCCTTACTGTTAGACGTAGTTTATCGTTATATCCAGGGCACCGAATTGAAGAAAAATACTGCAGCCGGGTTTTGATCTCTGTTCGCTAATTCCCAAATACATTCCGATAACCATTACGCTATTCTACACGCACAATGAAGTATTTGTCACAAAACTGCCGACAATATCCTTGAATAGAGACTCCAATCTCATATATAGGGTGACTAAAAAAAACGGAGCTTTTTAACAATACAATAAAACCAAGAGTGATGGAAGAAAAATATTTTATTCATAGTAATTGAAACCTTAAAACATGTCATTTAAGAAACAATGATGGAATTTTCATTTTTTTTTAAAAATTACGTTCTGTAGATGGCGTTCTCCTGTACGAATGCATTCTTGGAATCTGCTGTTGAGATTTTTCATTGACTGCTGCAACATCTCAGCTGGGATACTGCGAATTCTAAATGGCGAAATGTTTACTTGCTCAAGGTCACTGACTCGAGGTGTTGCCACTTGCTCACGTCTGGCAATATGCGCTTCAAAAATTCCCGTTTTTTTTGGTCACCCTGTATAACGAATCCATCTCGTTTCCTCATCTCTAGTAGGACATTTATCCGGAAAAATCTGTTAGTCTCGAAAAAACTATTAATGAAATATTCTCTGTCAAAAAAAAAAACAAAACAAAATACTACTACTACTACTACTACTACTACTACTACTAATAATAATAATAATTACAAATTATTCTTAAAATCCCAAATATTTTTCGGCTGTAAATAACCCACAAAATGTCGATAAATATATCATCTTCAAAACATTACTGATGGGCGAATTCCCACGCATGGATGAATTTAGTCACGTTTTTCCTCGACTAACTGAAGTAAACATCTACGTCGCTACATAAGAATTCCACGACGGAAAGTCGCATTTATGTTTACAAAAATAATTTTTCGATAAAATTTTCATCCTTGTTAATGCACTTAATTCTGAAGTGAATATTAATCACGTATTTCGATTATTATATAATGAAAATTTTAGATAAATAATTCAGCTGATGCTAAGATGTCAGACGAAGTAGAATGATCAAATCTATCTATCTATCTATCTATCTATCTATCTATCTATCTATCTATCTATTCTTATCTTTTATATATATATATATATATATATATATATATATATATATATATATATATATATGTATGTATATATATATGTCTAATTCTCAGTCTTTTCATATCTATCTATCTATCTATCTATCTATTTCTTAGTCTTCTAATATCTATCTAGCTAGCTAGCTATCTATCTCAGTTGGCGATCATAGCTCTACACATTTTCATGCCCTTCATTGCACTTAATGCTGTCTTTCTCCTTTCTGTCCTAAACCTTGCTCCGACATCCGTTTACCTCAATCTCTTTAAGTGTGTCATCTGCTGTTTTTCTTTGTCGCTCTTGGCTTCAATCTATCCTGTGAGTGTCAGATTTTCCAAGTCCACTTTCCTCGTTATCTGCTCTAGAAATTTCAACTGTCTCTTCCTGGTGTTAAGTAGAAGTTTCCATTTTCCCATAAAACTTCGTCGTTGCTCACATATTCGATCAATGGCCTCCTCAGCATCTGTCTGTAGAACAAGATTTCTGTTGCTTCAAGTAGGTTTCTATCTGTGAGGTGATTGTCCTGAATTCCCTGCCATATAAAAGGATAGAAATTACGTAACAGTTCAATAGCCTTTCTTTGTTTCTAAAAAAAAAAAATCCTGTTTCTTAATATTCTGCTTAGGTTTTGGAAGGCATCTTTGGCTATGTCGATGCGCCTTCGGATCTTAGTGTCGCAGTTTTCGTCCTCTGTTAAAAAAAATCGCAGACATTTAAATTTTTGTACTTTTTTGATTTTGCTATCATCATTTTTTTAATTTACATGTTGGGCTCTTCCTTTTACTGACAACCCCATTCCGTCTTCTTGCAATTGATGTATAGTCCTTTTTTCTCGCTTTCCTTCACGACATTCTGTCGGAGATTTTGTAGTTTCCTTTCCATGTCTGCTATCAGCACTGTGTCATCTGCAATCGTATGCTGTTAAGATTATGGCCGCCAATAATGAACCATAGTAGGACTTCTAATTGTTTCAGAGCCAATGCACTGTATAGGTTGAATAAGTCCGGCGAGCAGACACGTCCTTGCCTTACTCCTTTCTTTTTTGTATATCTGCTGAACTCATTTTCTATCCGTATGCAGGCCATTTGCTACCAGTATAGGTTCTTGATTATTCTAATATAATTTCTAAATATATCAAGGTTGCTGAGCAGTTGACATCTTTGCGTCGTACTTTATCGAGCGCCTTTGTGTAATCTATAAAACACAGGTGCAAGTCATAGATTTTTGATTAATTTAATATCCTTCCCAACTTATTCAGATGTCTCCAGTATTTTATATCTTTATAAAAGGCTACCCGTATTTATCTACAAAGGCGTGGTAAAAAGTTCTCAGCTCGAATGAATTTCCATTATCTGATCAACATGTCAAACAAAAAAAAAACACACTTCCCATGACGAGTTTTAACTGTATCAATTTTTAGGTAGAAAGAGGATCACGGGAAGGCGAAAATTTTAATTTTCATTCTGATATTTTCTAGCCAATAGAAACACTTGTAGCGAACGTTAAATTTCACGCCAACATAACAGCCGCTGGGTTAAATGTCAAAGTGGATCAACTGTCTTCCTACCCACAATTCTTCTATCGATATTTCAGCCAATAAAAATGTGCATAACATTAATATTTTTCAAGTAATCAGCGTTCGAATTAGAAATTTATTTTTATTCCTTGTACACATTTATCCAAAATTTGAGTCACCGGATTCCTTATAGATCGACGAAATCAACTTCAATAATCGAACGCCGTTTGGTTTTAATTCAAAGTCGGGCGAAATACATTTCTAATCTCTGATTTATTCAACTTTTCATATCGTTCAGTTTCGTCTGCTTTCAATCATTTTCTACTGACCTGCCACTGAATGGCGGCATTTTTTTTGTATGGGGGGGGGAGGGGCATAACGTTCACCTTCTTTTCTTCTATCTCTACAGATTCACACGCTATTTTAAGGGAATGCGTTTGCCACACACATATTACACACTTGCTAGAGTTGTACATAATTGAGAATGACATTTTCATGCTGTCTGAATTAAAATTAATCGTACATATTTATAAGTCAAACATTCATCCTTGCTTTGAATACTGCTGTAACATCTGTTCTGGTGCACCGGCTATATATTTAGAGATTCTTGTTAAAATCCAAGGAAGAATCTACAATGTTATCTGTCATGACCTGGTATCTTAGTTTCAGTTACTTTCTCACATTATCATAACACAGCTTCCCTGTGGCTTTTCTATAAATACTTTCATAGTAATTGATTTGATGAACTTTCCTTGACCGTACCTAGAAATTATGGATTTAACTGCAGTACTAGATTGGCGGTTAGGTCTCATCAGTTGAAATGGTTAGATGTATTCATAAGTTCTATTTTAATAGTTTCTGCAATCGCACTTCTTGCTTGTAGAACTCTTTTCCTATTTCTTGCTTCGCATGTTTGATCTTCGAAAATTTAAATGCAATGTCAATGGTCATCTTCTGCCTTCTGAATTCATGTTCTTTTATTGTTCTCTTTCTTTGATATTAGTTTTCTCATATTCTCTTCCATACAGAAACCTGTTTGCGTCTTAGTTTCCCTATTGCCTAGCTTGGGGTGAAAAAGTATAAATGAATACAAAACAAAAATAAATCACTACCGACTTTTTATCTTAACTACTAATTCTCAGTTGGATCCTATTCCAACTTGCTGACGATAATTGTAGACATCATAAACTTAAATCTAGCAGCAACGGTAAGTCTATCTTGTTTTTTCTGTTAGAAGTCCATTCTAAAAAACACATATTAAATGACAAATGATCAATCATATATTATTTACATTTTTATTTATTGCCTTGAATTGGGGTGAACTGAATAAAAGTTAAATATCAATCATTAATTCTAGATTTTTCATAAGAATTCTCTCCTTTTTATTACAAAAGCAACAGTTTAAAACTTTTGAAATAACGCTAGTGATGTAGCATGTGATTATCTCTCTTCTGATAGGAAGAATTAACTGATGTCACATAGGGGCTTGAAAGGGTCACTTGACAGTCATTGGAGAAGATAGTCAGTTGCTCCCTAGCTCACGATGGAATGGGGTGCGAGATTCAGTTGCTGTTCGACTGACCACGGTGGACTGTAGCAATTCCAATGCATCCTAAATAGTAATTTACGATCATCAAGGCTCAATAGGATACCTCGAATGGAAGTTACAGATAAGACATTATTATTTGTTCCTTTCACATACTACTTTTATTTTTATGTGTTTAATTTCTCTGTGTGAGACAAATTGTCACGAACATCTATCTATCTATCTATCTATCTATCTATCTATCTATCTATCTCAACCTGTTCTTATATCTGTCTATCTGTATCTGTCTATATTTCTGAGATGAGGTATTATGTACACTATTTACATTATTCGGACTATTGTCCTCATCTTTGTCGACATATTTATTACAACGTTTCGGCCGTTCAGTATCTGTCTATATTTCTGAGATGAGGTATTATGTACACTATTTACATTATTCGGACTATTGTCCTCATCTTTGTTGACATATTTATTACAACGTTTCGGCCGTTCAGTATCTATCTATATTTCTGGGATGAGGTATTATGTACACTATTTACATTATTCACACTATTGTCCTTGTCTTTGTTACCATATTTATTAAAACATTTCGGCCGTTGTACGCTCTGGCCTTCTTCAGGTGGTTGGAATGTTGAACTGAAACCTTTATTTCACTCACTGGAGTAGACTGTCCTCGTTCTACGTGCCATGTCTAATTGATGTCAATTATCAAGACACATTAAGGACACAAGACACAGTGGATAAAGTCGTTGGTTAGATCCAGTGACAGGACCCAAAGAGTTGTGAGTTCAATACATGGTTAAGGCAGTGGAGAACTTGGAGGGGTGAATTAACAGGAAATAACTGATAATTTATATCGATTAGACATGGCACGTGGAACTAGAACAGTCTACCCCAGAGAGCGAAATAAAGGGTTCAGTTCGACATTCCAACCACTTCAAGAAGGCCAGAGCGTACAAAGGTCGAAACGTTGTAATAAACATGTCGACAAAGATGAGGACAATAATATAAATAGTCTATCTATCTATCTATCTATCTATCTATCTATCTATCTATCTATCTATCTATCTGTTATGGTCCAGGTTAGGACCAACGAAGAACAACACGAAAACAAGAGTAGAAATAACGAAGGTATATTACACGAAATAATAATACAAGACGTGGAAGGTGTTAGTATGACTGTCAGTCTGGTTTGGAGTGAACTACTATCGTCTCGACTCGATTCGGTATCTAGACACCCCCACGAGGGTTCCATGTGGCACCAGGCCGAGTTTAACGTGGGTTTCCTGAACCCGTAGGCTCGGCCAAAAAATGCCCGTAGAACCCGTATAAACAGGATCGGGTTGGTCAACTTCCCCGAACGAGACTCTGCTCTTCGGCAGAGCCTCGTCCGGGTTCCTCTCTGCTCAGAGTCAGAGAGTTCGACCGTGTGTGTTGTGCGTATTGCATCTTAGAGCATCTTAGTACGAATTATATTTGTGTACTTCAGTATTCCATGTATACCTTATTTAAGGATTTCATTTTCGTAAATTTTTGTTTCATTTGTAATTATTTCTTATGTTGCATCAATATCGTGGATATATTAATGACAATAATGGATTTTTATTTCTTGTCTCTTTCCAGCATTTCGTCATGACAACTAAATCATAATTTGTCTATATTTCTGAGATGAGGTATTATGTACAGTATTTACATTAGTCGGACTATTGTCCTCATCTTTGTCGCCATATTTGTCACAACGTTTCGGCCGTTGTACGCTCCGGCCTTCTTCAGGTGGTTGGAATTTCGAACTGAACCCTTTATTTATGGGATAGGCGGGTACAAGAGGAGGAGGAGGACAACAACACTCAGAAAAGAGTCTGCCTGCCTTATGTGAAGGGGTTATCAGAGAAAATACAAAGGATCTGCGGTCCATATAACATCAGGACAACCTTTAAAAGCTTGACGACATTTCGCAGAGTGAGACCCCCCACAGAGAGGAACATGACTAAAGACTGTGTGTACGCTATCCCGTGCAGCTGCGGAAAGGAATATAAAGAAGAGACAGGACGCCCCCTCAAGGTAAGGCTTCAAGAACACCAGAAAGCTGTAACACGAGGGGAAGTAGAAAAATCAGGCGTGGCTGACCACATGTGGAGAGAGAAGGGAGATCACCGTCCCCTGTGGGATCATGTTGAGATCATAGACAGGGAACGCCATTGGAAAATTCGTAAACTTAAGGAATCAGCACATATGCTAGGCCACAAAAATCTCCTGAGCCGACCAAGCATAGAAATAAATACAATATGGGAACCAGTAATAAGGAGTGCCAGAGAAAAGCAATGATAACAAAGTTGCAATATGAACTCTGGTAAAGACATGCAATGATAACAGCAAAAATTGCAATATGAGCACTGGTAAGAATAATGCTGAAAAACATTAGGTTTATAATACTCAAGTTCATACCCAGATGTCCTCAAGGACACATGGCACAGTGGATAAAGGCATTGGTTAGATCCAGTGACAGACCCAAAGAAGGTGAGTTCAATTCCTGGTTAAGGCAGTGGAGAACTTTCAGAGGGAAAATTAGCAGGAGATAACTGATAACTGACATCCATCAAACATGGCACGTGGAACTAGAACAGTCTACCCCAGTGATCGAAATAAAGGGTTCAGTTCGAAATTCCAACCACCTGAAGAAGGCCGGAGCGACAAATATGGCGACAAAGATGAGGACTAATGTAAATACTGTAAATCATAATTACACCGTAACGTAAGAGCACCACATGTCTAATTAACACTTAGAATCCAGAGATGTATTTGAATCTGAGCCCCTGACAAGTTTTCCTCCACCTCCTCCATGTTTGAAAGTGAGATGTCCTTGGCAAGTAGCCTGGTGGCCGTTGATTCCATCGGAGGAGCTCTGGCCTTTGACTTAGAAGTGATCCACTCGGTGATCCCCTTCGCATATATATATGCATATATTTGCATATATATCTGATCTCTGGAAACCTGTCTAGAAAAAAGTACAATTCTGGATCCAAATGACTGTCAGGTTAGCACACTCATTACGTAAAAAAAAAACCTTGTTATGAAAAGCAAATCTTGTGGACTAGCGCTAAGGATTCACTAACAAAAAACTTTACCAAACAACAGGGACCACATCACGTGATGACTTTCAATAATAGCAAAAATATACCACTTGCAACTCGAAGAGAAAATAATGTCATATGATGTTGACATTCCACACAACTTCAAACAAAAAGCTGGGAAGTAAACCTTCATCAGTTATGGAAAGACAGGTAACAGTGTAATTGAAAAACTATTTTCCTGAAATGTTGTTTTCATAGAAAGAATGCTATTAGCCGTTAGAGGTACTTGCAGCTCGGTCAATGAATGCTGGATATTACCATATAAGGAAATTGTTAACATTACCATTACCATAGCAACATAGAGGGGTAAATATCTGGCCATGTACTCTTTAAAAGTAACCTATATGCACGCTCTTTTACGCACACACACAAAAACACACACATGTAGATATTAACGTATTCATTGTTATACACACTCACACACACATTTAAATATTATCATTCTTAATGTGGCACTCACTCACACATATAAGATCATGCTGAGAATAAGAAATAAAAAAAAATATTCATTTTGTAGGTATTGTAAGTATATTTTACTAAAAATGAATTTCCTTATAACTTGACGTAAGCCTCGAAGATGCTGTCAAAATTTAACTTCAGCAACAATTTATTTTTTTACAAGAGAAATGATGTTTGAAGTCAATATATCTTTATAGATAAAATTTTATTTATGTTCAGCGAGGACTCTTAAAAATCGCGCCATTTTCCCTCTGTTCTTTTTTTCTTTCACTGGCTACTAAGTGTGAGCTCCGAGTTTGAACTTTTTAAGAAATCACCCAGAAATTGAATTATGGGGAAAATTTGTCCATGAATGAAAGTAAAATATAAAATATAATTCGTAGCAAAATACTGTTTCTTATGATGTTGATTCTTAGTCAATGGAGAAGATTTTTAAACACAGGTCGATAAATATACAGCAGTAAATAAGTGTGTGCGTCTGCGCTTGCTTGAATGAGTGTGTGTTTGAAAGAGAAAAAGAGACAGGGAGTGTAGAGACATATAGAAACAGTTTCAGATAAATGAATGGACATATATGAGCAGACTGAGATATAAAAGAAGGGACTGAGATAGATACATAGATAGATAGACAGACAGACAGACAGATAGATAGATAGATAGATAGATAGATAGATATGAACAAACATAGATAGATATACAGAGAGATAGATAACATATGAACAGATTGTGATAAGTAAATAGACAAAGTAACAGATGAATAGACATATATAAGAGACTGAGATGGAGATGAACTAAAATAAAGAACAGAAGAAAATAGATGCTGAACGGATATATATATATATATATATATATATATATATATATATATATATATATACAAAAGAATAGAATCCAAGTAGAACTCAATGTCTAGGACAGAGTAAGAATATAATATAATAAAAATGGCTCAAATACTAATATTCACTGGTTATAATTTATTACATTGGAATCATAATCACGATTCAAATCATCAGACCTACAAATTCAAAAAACTTTTTGAATTTGTAGGTCTGATGAATTGATCGTGATTACGATTCCAATGTAATAAATTATAACCACTGAATATTAGTATTTGAGCCTTTTTCTTATTAAATATATATATATATATATATATAGTTTATGAAAATTAGGTAATCCGTATGGGTAAACCCAAAGAGGATAAAATCCAGTGATCTCAATGCAATGTAAATCCAGAGCAAATCATTTAGTGGTATGTTTTATTTAAATATATATATATATATATATATATATATATATATATATATATATAGCAAAATTATTATATATATATATATATATATATATATATATATATATATATATATATATATATATATATATCATAATAGTTTTTATGTGTGTTTTTGACATAGAACTCTCCCTGGGTCTATAGCCTGATGTAAATTCCACAAGGAATACCATATTATATCATATGAGTTTGTGGTAGCCGTGAGTCATATCTGTGATAAACAGATCAGGAGTTGTCATGAACGTGAAGCAGTACAGACACAAAAGACTTCCCGAATCCCGTGTGGAAGCTAGTTAAATCTAGGTTTTATTTGTTGGCAGAAAATTAGAATGGCATGTCCACATACAGGCCTCTCTTTAACTTGTTCAGATCCGGGTTTTTGTCAACTGTCTCAGATTTCCATTTTCTGTCTGTTACACAGCAATTCTTTATAGAACAATTGATTAGGTGTTCGCCAACTGTCAACACACCAATGCCTTATTCGAAGTGTCTAGCAGATAATATGTTAGTTGATAAATGGTTATGTATAACATGACACTTCAGTCCTGCGTGTGACTTAGGCAAAATCACATGTCACATAACCCACAATCTTCTACTCAATGTGATCTTGCCTGTAAGTCTCTTGCGGGATGGAAATTTCAAATTCGCTATGAACATCTATCGATTAAAATATAAGCTGCTACAGTCGGGTGGCGGTGCACAAATGGAATTATATCTTTGGTTTCGTTCCGTTTGATTTACGGTATATCAACCTCAATGGGTTATTTAATGACGACAAGATTTTTATTGCTGGTCATGTTTTTTCTTCACAAATGTATTGCTCTTAGTAATTATGTACAAAAATATGTTGTCGGTAAAATATTTTCCTTCAAAAATATATTGCTGGCAATAATGTTTCCTCAAAATTGCTGGTATTAAAACCTATTTTTACACTTTCATAGACACCAGTTTGGGTTAACTTTTTACCCATAGTTGGGGACCTAACAAGCGCTACCACCCGTGTTACGTTGCGCCAGGGAACACCAGCAATTAAGAGGTCGTTTCCACGCTCCTCGAAACCTCCTGATGAGAAGCCTTGCTGTTAGACGTATTTTGTCGTATTAACCAGGACAGGGTGTAGTTTAATTTTAATGTCATGAATCTTGGTTTGGTTTGGTTTGTTTAATGGCATATTAAACTCAATAGGTCATTTAATGCCGACAAGATTTTTATTGCTCGTAATATTTTTTTCACAAATATATTGCTAGCAAAATTTTTTTTCTTCAAAAATGTATTGCTGGTAATAATTTTTCTTCAAAAAATTTATGGCTGTAATTAAAACCTATTTTTACACTTTCAAAATGTTTTGAATCCTTTTTTGTGGAAGGGGTAACTATTTGCCCATATTTTGGACCGGAACAAGTGCTACCACCCCGGGTCAGGGTGGGCCTGGGTACAACAGCAAATAAGAGTTGGTTCCATGCTCTTCAATATCAGCTGATGAGAAGCCTTGCTGCTGGATGTAGTTTATCGTCTTAACCAGGACGCGGATATAGCTTATCGTTTACGCAGGACGTTTATATCTTTCTTAAAGGTTCTAGCACATAAGTAAATGTAATAACTTGCATCAAAGTTGACTCTCCGATTCCGCAATCTGAGCTTTCCATAATTAATAACTGATGTAATGAATATGCATACACCTGAGTTCCCCCTCACAGTAATATAATTGGCTGGTGTCAGATATAAATACAGACTGATAAGGACGCCTATTGACGACGCCTATTGTCTTCGCCTGTTGCCTACGCCTATTGCCTACCACTACGAAGAGGACCTGTCCATTACGGTTACCTGCTAGATTGTCTTACTTGGTTACAGTAGTTTAAAACCACTTTGCTACTTCGAATAAATATATCCCTTTCCGGGACATATCAATAATAATAATAATCAAAAGCGAATAATTAATAAATGAATGCAAAATCCCCTAAATAAAGAAGCAATAAAAAATAATGAGTTAAAAGCTAACAAACAATACCATACAATAGCTACAAATAACCGCTGGCAGAGAATTATTTCTACTGAATAGCCTTTAGAATACCTGGAAATATAACCATTGCCGCCTCACGGATCAATCATGAAAATGGCTGTCGCCATTCTTTGTTGATCTCATTGTCCACATATATTGTTTTAAAGTTGTTAAATTCATGAGGAAAGAGAGTTCAATAGCAGTCCAGATACAGAACATAGCACTGAAATGTGACCGTCAGTTTTATACCCTAAGCGATCATCAGATCATACACAAACATATATAGTGCGGATACCCTCTGAAGAGAGGATGGAGTGATTACTAAAAGATCTGTTTACGAAACGCTGTAGTCAGACTGTTGAAGGCACTATCTATTAGCTTTTACTTATATTAATTATCTCTCTCCTTCCTTCTCCTTCTCTCTCTGTATATATCTATATATATCTATATCTATATATATATATATATATATATATTCAGTGGTTTATATATATATATATATATATATATATATATATATATATATATATATATATATATACACTGCGTGCCAAATTATTATCGAGATAACTTTTTTTCTAATATTTCACACAAATTTTTCATTTCACAGAAATTTTTCACATAATGTTGGCAACACTAACCTGCGCAATCACTGAAATTTTTGTATTGATCTGCGCAAAATAACTGGCACAGTTTCAAACAAATTAATAGGGAAAGTAATTTCCTTGTTTTGAAATTACTTGAAGAAGTCGATGATCCATAGAATTTGTTAATTGTAGGATGTCATCTGCTGTAATGCCGCGAGATATATCAAGAAATGCTTCCCACAACTCAGCGTTGCTCCCGAATTGTCGTCCGTTGGCCTACAGTCTTCGCTTCATGATGCTCCAAAGGTTTTCGATTGGGTTCAAATCCGGAGAATTTGCTGGCCACTTCATTTTTCGAGGTCCATCGAAGCCTAACTGTTTCAAATATTCAGTAGTCTTGTGAGCAGCAAGTGAGGGAGCATTATCTTGCATAAAAACAATGGCCCTTCTGAAGTCAACTCTTTGCCTTTTCATCCACGGTTCAAGATGCCCATTCATCAACGCTATGTATGCATCAGCGGCCATTTTGACGCCATCTGGTACTCTACATGGGCCTACTAATGTTTTTCCAATAATACCACCCCAAATCATTATGCCTCCACCGACTTGTTGGCGTCTCAAACGCTGATGGCGATTCTGTCCGTTCATTACCCAGCCTTTGCATCATCTATCTGGCCCATCAAGTGTTGCTCGAGTTTCGTCTGTGAACAAAACTTTAGAAAAGTTAATCTTCATATAATATCTTCGATAATAATTTGGCACGTAGTGTATATATATATATATATATATATATATATATAGAGAGAGAGAGAGAGAGATTAACTACTATCCATGGCAACTGAATATGTTAGTTCTATCAAGGATGTTGAGTACTTTCCACTAAGTACCGTGCTTATAATATATATATATATATATATATATATATATATATATATATATATATATATATATATGTGTGTGTGTGTGTGTGTGTGAACATTCAATGTTATATGTTATATATATATAAAATGAACATTGAAGTCAACACTCAGAGGCGACAGGCTGTTTCATGCTAGACGCAATCGTCAGGCTGTCTGATTTCAATGTTCACTTTTATATTTATATTTACATACGCTCTATCTCTGATACTGAGTACTAAATTCTTAGACTTTTCTAATAATTTGGCACGGTCAAATCACCGTGCTGATAACAAATATGGCGCCAGTTTGTTTATATTGCGCAGATCATTACGAAAATTTCAGTGATTGCGCAGGTCAGTGTTGTTAACATTGTGTGAAAATGTTGTGTGAATTGATTCAACGGTTTTTGAAATATTAGAAAAAAGTTATCTCGATAATAATTTGGCGCAGTGTATATATATATATATATATATATATATATATATATATATATATATATATATATATATATAGATATTCACTACTATCCATGGCAACTGAATATGTTAGTTTTATCAAGGACGTTGAGTACTTTCCACTAAGTACAGTGCTTGTAATATATATATATATATATATATATATATATATATATATATATATATATATATATATATATATATAAGCGAACATTCAATGTTATATGTTATATATATACAAAATGAACATTGAAGTCAACACTCAGATGCGACAGGTTTTTTCATGCTAGACCAATCGTCAGGCGGCCTGACTTCAATGTTCACTTTTATATTTATATTTACATACGCTCTATCTCTGATATTGAGCACTTTATACAATAAATATAGCGCACCTTAAAACTATATTTCTTCACATGTATATATATATATATATGTATGTATATATACATATATATTTTTATAAAAACTATATTTATTCTATATATATTTCATATTTCAAGCCATATAATGCCCACCGTAATATTTAAACTAAAGATCACATTCAAAATATAAAATACTTTAATATGAGAAAATATTTTAATGAAATATAGAAAACTATAGTAAAATTGAAAACAGAAAAAAGATTTCCTCAATGGAATGATTCAATTATTCACGTGAAGTTTATTCGCCGTTATTGAAATTTCTAAAAATTCGTGACTCATTCTCATTTGCAGAAATTTACGTTGCTATGGCAATAGAAATCATGATAATATTGAGCGACGCCAAACATTTGGCCTCTGCAGACATTATTTTAGGGAGTAAATTTGATTGAAAACTCTATAATATATGCCGGATGTGTGAATGTGTTTAACAACGGATAAGCGAGTGCGGTACCAGTGGTTCTAAACATGAAATCGTCGATCCGGGATCAAAATTCCGGCACTTTGTGATGTATTCGGAAGAATGCCCGTGGAAACGGTGTGAATACATTCGGGCGATGCCTGAAAATGGATGTCAATCTAATTCTTCCTATATCCTTGCAAGCGAGGAACAAATCGCTAACAACTTATTAGCGCGTATCCAAGTGCGTGTGTCTCTCTGCTAGAGTGGCTAACCAATCCCTATTGCAGACGCTGGCTCAAGTACATTTGTGATTGTCCAAGAATACTCCTGTGGCTTGAACTGCAACTATGTTGAGCGGACCTTTGTTACAGTTTCTGTCAGAGAGTATATTACTTTTGCGTAGTCAAGCACGTTGAAACCCTCGGTCACGATGACTTATAACTTCGTGCCAGCTCAACCATCGACGTGTCCCAAATAGTTCTGTCTGCTCAATTGCACTCACAAGGGTTGGGTCAACCTGTGGTATGGTTTTTAGGCACTTTCTCCCAAAATATCCAGAAGTCAGGTTCCTCACAAATCAGTATACAAATATAGTAATATAGCAAATGTCTATGGGAGGGAAAATTTGATGCTATATTCACCTGTATTTTAACTTTTGAAGTTGAAGTAAAATATATAATTTCTCTTCTTGAAAATGATCAAAGCTTATTGAATAGCGCGGACTATATAAATACGGACAATGTGTACGCGCGCAATCATATATTTGTTAACGTTTGTGGGCACCTAGGGGTGGTGTAATGGTTAGCAAGCTTGTCTCGCTAGAACAATTACAACTGAGTAGTGAGTTCGATCCTCACTGGGTGCCCCTTACATTCATCCATGTGCCACATCTGAGCTACGCTTGGAAAATCACTGTATTCGTTACCTTTTGTGAAAACAACAGACAATTATTTAATAATAAACGGAATATTTTCTGTAATATATGCCTCAGTTTATGAGATGAAGATTAATCATTACTTACACACGGAATTATCTCCCCATCTTTATTGTTGCTATCCCGACGTTTCGACCACTGTGCTCTCTGATTTTCATCAGATATTTTCCGATTACAGTAACCCTGAATTTGTCGACATAGTAAATGAGAGTTTAATCCCTGGGCCGGTTAATGTGTATTTGGACTCAGTGGAAATTATGCGAGCACTTAGTACAGTACTACAGAAAATCTAAATATATACCTAGACATGCTCAGGAGACCGAGAAGAATCTATAGCATCTCATAGATTAAATAAAGGGGTCAGTTCGATATTCCCTGAAGATGACTTGGATAGGCAAGCTGAAGCTTGGGGGCACAACAGACTTTGTGATAACAACAAGAAAAATAAGGACAACTGTCATCATGTAAATTATGTAAATTGGTTATATGTTATTGTTTTGACCCCCTTGAGGGGTAATTATTTGCCCATAGATGGGACCCTGACAGGTGCTACCACCCCGGGTCAGGATGGACCTGGGAACATCAGAAATTAAGAGGTAGTTCCACGCTCCTCAAAAGATCCTGATCAAAGGCCTCGCACACACACACACACACACACACACACACACACACACACACACACACACACACACACACACACAGATAGAAATTACTTAAAGGAACGATCATTTAGCTAATCTTCATACCCTGCCTGGTGGCAAAAGCTGCTGGTGGCGCCAGAGGTGGCGGTACCGCCATAGCCACCGAAACCGTGATATCACCCCGCGGCTGATGAAGACAGGGTATCGCACGTGCTAACACATGTTGTATGTTAATATATATATATATATATATATATATATATATATATATATATATATGAGCGGTTTGGGATAGTAGTCGCAGCTCGTGGAGGCACAGTCCTATGGGTAAAGAGAAACTCAGATGAGTTCCACCACTGAATATGTAATCGAGCGGCGCTATATTGAGTCTAATTCGTTACCTCTTCGTTGGTATGACGTTTGCCTCCTATCGTAACTGTTCGTGTTTCAATTCTCGGTAGTGGATGCGCACTGCTGATGAGTCCCAAATATAGGACGAAACGACCGTCCAGTGCTTTCTGCATTCTATTGAGATTTCTTTTAGACTGGATAAATTAATTATGATAATTTAAATCCTCCTAATTATTTGTGTATATATATATATATGCCAATTAGTGGCATCATGTTATATTTAAAACTTATTTTGAATTGTGTTTCCTGTACTTGTTCCAAAACAGAATGAATTGTATTGTTTGGTTTTATGGTTACAGCTCCTAAAATATTCTGTCATTTTTAAAGTTCACGTGGCATACTGATTTTTGGGTTAGAGATACGTATATGTCGGATTACTAGTGGTTAATTTAGATATTATCTGATGAATGGCAAGTTAACCGATGTGATAATGGAGTGAATTGAAACCAATGTATGTATTATTTGAATTAGCCACTGTGAAACAGTTTCCATGTTGGCGAGAGAATTTAAAAAGAATTATAAATAGTATTTTTTAATGGTCACTAATATACTTATACTTGTTGCTTTCTTTGCTCTTTCTTTCTCTTTCCTTCCTTCTTTCTTTCTTTCTTTCTTTTTCTTCTTTCTTTCTTTCTTTTCTTCATTCCGCTTCGTTATTTCTATTTTTTCTTTGCTGCTACATTCTTTCTTTCTTTCTTTCTTTCTTTCTTTTTCATTATTTCTATTTTCTTTCGTTCATTTTTCTTTTCTAACCATTACCTTGTAGATTTCTTTGTTTCTTAATTTTCTCTTTTTTTTCACTGCCGTTTTTGCATTTGTCTCTCCCTCCCCCCTCCCTCTCCCTTTACATTTCTTGCATCTCTCTCTTTTCTCGCCATTCAGAAAGCCTCATGTAAACATAACCAATAGAAAATCCACAAGGTAGCAGATGCAAATCCTATTTTCCAGAGGGAAATTATTTTTCGAGACGCCAAATAGAATCGCGTCTTTGAATGTCTTTTGTTCAATTTGCGAAGAAGCAATCATGAAAACCTTCTCTTGTTCGACAAACAACTCAAAAAAGCAGGAAATTCTTAAAATAAAATCGCCAGGAAAAATGATGCTGTTGACAGTGTATTGGGAAGTTAAAAAAAAGACGTCTGTTCGTATCTGTTTATCCTCAGCAGTCAACAGATCTATGTAAATCTCTACTTGTAAATAAGTATCTATCTATGATGGGGTAAACATTCCTTATATATATATATATATATATATATTATGAAATGGACAAAGTCCGACAATTATTTTAAGATATTATGTTTACAAATATTTAAGTAAATTCTCTGTTTATAATAAGCAACATTTATCGGCCTGAATGTCCGAGAAATTTTCATAGAAAATATACGTATTCCGACAGAAATCGAACCTGTATCCTATACAGAACCGTCATATAGCCTGACGTGCCTTTAACCGAGTGGGCCACAGAGGAGCTTTCGGTTAGCAAGGTCGATTTTACTGTCTTTTACTGAGGACGAATAAACAGAGCATTTACTTAAAAATTTTATCTATAAAAGAATGTATAAACATAAAAATGTCTTTTATATATATATATATATATATATATATATATATATATATATATATATATATATCTGCTGATTTTAAAAGTTAAAAGCTCTACATGTTATTTTTAATTTTATTTGATTTTTTTCACACGTGTATTGAGTACTTTTAATATCTGTCTTAGTTTGATTCAACTCTTGACATTAACCTTTTTATTATATATATATATATATATATATATATATATATATATATATATATATATATATATATATATTCCTTGAAGCGTAACCAAGGACGGCCTACATAACGTTTACCATGAAAAAGTTGCCTATACAAGAGGGTTTTCGGCATCCAGTCATCACTAATTCTGACGATATGACAAGCCAATTTGGACTGTGATTGCATCAGAAAGGATTTAATACCACCGACGCCACTATTTCATGCATTACTTTTTAAGTAATACACATATTTATGTCTTTGTTGTTTCCGTTCCTTATATTCTGACTGCTACTGTATATATATATATAATATATGCCTTTTTTGCATGTAGATGATGCTATTATATTAGTGTTGTCAACAAGTATGTTACGAATAGTATCCATGAATATTTCAATGTGATTTAATTGAGCTATGGTTAGAAATGTGCAGAGTGTGCACGAAAGAAGGATTGCTGACTAAACACACACACACACACACACACATATATATATATATATATATATATATATATATATATATATGATGGATTCTCCCGTCGTTTTCAACGTATGAGTATCTTTCAGTTCAGTTTTTTTCATGTTTATGTTTCGTATGCGACATCAGTCCTGCACGGGATTTGCGAACAAGTCCACACGAGAGATATGCCGAAGAGTTGACCGTCATATTGGCTGATGCATTAGCCCGTGATTTAGTGTTAATTCTTTTTCTCTCAGATAGTTGTGACAATTCTTTTCAAAATTAGTTATACCTCGGTAGCAGGTTTTTCTCCAGTTTGCTCGATTTTCAGCATCGAGTTCGAACTCCTCTATAGGAATGTTTGCAGCAATTAAATTGTATTATTTGTCCTTGAAGCATAACCAATGACGCCCTACATTAGGTTTCAAATGAAAAAGTTGGCTATACATCAAGATTTTCGACATCCGATCATCTTTCATTCTTACGACATAACAAGCCCATTTGGACTGTGATTGCTTCAGAAAGGATTCGATACCACCGATATATATATATATATATATATATATATATATATATATATATATATAATTACTATAAACGTTATTTTGGGTTGGTACATGTGTTTATTTAGGCTATCGAAACCTTCAGATTTCCCAACGAAGAACTTGCTTTTGGTAATAGATAATATTCAGGCTGCCATTATCTGCTAGAGGATCACTTTTGTTTTTAAAAGTGGTTTCTACGATGGAAAAGATTGGATACAGGTTCGATTCCCGTCGGAGGCACAACTTTCTTTTAGTAGAGCTTCTCACTTTAGTGCGGTCATTATTAATTTCACTGCCTAATAAAATAAACAGTGACAGGAATTCAAATACTTCGAGGCAACGGATATATGGTTCAATAGAGCAACGATGGGGTCTTGGAGAGGTTACAAACAAGTAGGATGCTTATACTTAACATCAGGAAGAGGCAGCTAAAATTTCTGGGACATGGAAAGGAGGGCTTGGAGAATTCAATACTCACAGATCAAATAGAGGGATAAAGAGACAACAGGAAGCAACTCATGTCATACCTACCGGCCTTAAGTAAGGGTATGACACAATATGGCCTGAGGAAGTAGCAAAGGGATAAAATCTTATTGAGAACTACAAGAGATAGGGGTTAAGTGAGGGTCATGATCGCCTACATTCTGAAAGGACACGGCACATAAAAAGATGTACCCATTAAAAATAACGTTTATAGTAATAATAATTAATGTCGGATAAATCATTTAAAAAAAAGTTATTATATATATTTTATGCTTGTATACTATATTAATGTACTTATATTGTATTTATATATTATATATATATCCGAAACGTGAAGACAATGATTTCTAAACATTGGATTTTATTTCCAATCCGACATTATTTCTTTATAACTTAAATGTTATATTTTACTCGATACGTGTGTTTAAATAGATGCCCTCCTATTTTTAATGGTGAGAAGTACATCTCCTGGCCACTGTACTAAAGATATTGAATAAAGAAAATTTGTGCACCAGCAGGGTTCGATTTTACGTAATATTTTCTAGGAGAAACCACTTTGTGCACCGGCGTGCCTCAGACCATTCAGCCAAAGGGAAGTTCAAAGAGAGCACACGAGAATTCATCCTCTGATCCCCTCAGAGAACTCAGTAACGTGAAACAGATGTTAGTAAGTAACGGTTTTCTGAATTAGCTCATTGATCACCAAAGTAGTTTAGCAACACTGAACATTTAAATAAAAAAGATAACATTAACATTTTCTATAAAATATAAATACACACCATTAACTTGAACTAAAAGATGAACTTTTACTTAGAAACATTATAAAGAAATATACGAACAAAGTAGACGAAAGAAAGAACAATTATCGATTATAAAAAAAATTAAAGTAGCTAAGATTGTCAACAACAACAAAAACAATAACTCACCTGCAAGATCTAAATTACAAAAAAACAAAACAAAAAAAACAGTATTGTTTATTAATTCACATACTGCATTAAAAACTAATTCTTGAATAAACCATATTCATGAATAATTATGTAGGATACATCACTACATGGATATAAAGAATATACACGTCACACTTCTTTGACCATATCTTAGTTAGAACTCACACAGAAACCTACCAATCCCTGTCTGCAACATACTTCTAGAAAATACATTTATAATAGCCTCATCCAAATGTAAAAAAGACTGAACATAATGGAAACACTACGATTAAAAAAAAACAAAAGCCAACATTCAATAATATTGACTACGAACACGGTCACAATGTTCTGACCATGTTTGAAAAATCATAAAACACTACCATCACTGTAGAAAAATGTAAACAATCTAGACACTCAGTTAAAGAAATCCTTGCTAACGGCTAATAAAACAGTCGAAAGCTTTCGGGTTTATAGAACATTTGGACAATTTTTACACAATTTATGCTCTGAAAAGAAAACAATTCAAAACATGATAATTTCTGATAATTTACTGTTTTTAGGGAAGTTTATCATTTTGAAGAATATTTTCCCTATTTTTGTTTTTTTATTGTACTGTTGGTGGGGGTGTGAACCAAATTATCTTTCTTTTTCTGTTGTTTTTGTGTGAATTATTTTCGTTTTTGTATTTTAGTTTGAATATCCGGTGTTGCTTGGGATTGATTCATATGTTTTTGTTTTCCTTGAACATGCTTAGGCTACTAGAATTTGTTAAAATTCTTTTACGTATAAATATAGGTCTTCGTTTGAATCCGTTAGCGGGGTGATTGGAATTTTTAAATGTATATTGTGTTGATGTTTGGTTTTCGGTATGGTTTGTAGGTTCTGTTTTTAGATTGAATGTTATATCTGAGATATTTACTATTTTTTATTTGATTTCATATCTATTGTGAAGGTTTTATATATTTTCTTATTTTTTCTGTATTTATCCATTGCATTTCCTTAGAATTAATAGACCGTCATCGCTGTATAGACCTATATCTCTTTTGTTAATAATATTTGTCACTTTATTGATTATGTATATACTTATGAGTTCATAAATGTGCCATCATAGCTACTCATTTTTACATCAAAGTTATTATTGTTATTTTTATTATGACCCTTTCTTGTCCTTATTTTTATTATGGTAGAATATTATGTTTAATTATATTTATGTATACATTGGGGATAGTAATATATTGTTTTGCTAAGTTTAGCGCATTTTTTAGTATATGCTCATTATATATATATATATATATATATATATATATATATAGTCGACTCCAAACGTATTGGAACGGCAAGGATAATTCCTTTGTTTTTGTTGTTCACTGAAGACATTGGGGTTTAAGATCAAAAGATGAATATGAGACAAAACTTCAGAATTTCTAATGTTATTTCTTGGTATTTACATTTAGTTATGATAAACAACTTAGGGCATGTCACCTTTTGTTTGAAAACACCTGTTTTTAAAGGTAGCAAAACTATTGGAACACATGACTGACTGCTGTTTCTTGTTACCCGGGTGTTCCTTTTAGTTTGTTTAAACATTAACTAACTCTGAATTACTACTCTTGGGATTCACCTGTAAAGACTTCATTTCTTCTTAAAAAGGGCTGAACTAACTTGAAGACGAGAAAACCGTCTATGGGAAAAAATACGCCATTTTGACACTGAGAAAA